GCTATTAAGAACTGGCTTGTGTATTGACATATTATTGCCCTCTGCTGGATCGACTTAGAAGAATTCAGCTACGTATCATAGGTCTTCTACTGCTCAGAGATGAGATAAATTTCTCTCTTCCCTTTTTGCTTTTTAAAGTGACACAGTGACAGCTATTAAATCACATTGATACATTTTTCAAGGAAACTTCAACACAAAAAAATCCACTCATTATTCAGAGAGGGAGTCTGTGACCTTTAGGCTTCAAGGAACCTGCACCTTCCTGACCAACTTGCCTCGAATAAACTTTAGGAATAGTCAGATCTTTCTCCCTGGTTTTGGCTACCTTTGCGGTGACGTGCATAGTAGCAGAAAGACATTTAGAAATCCAATGATGAGCTATTCAAGGACTGAGACCCTTGAATATATTTCTGCTCTCTTTCCACCCTGTGCAACACTGTCAGGTTTCTGCAACGGAAATTACAGGTCCCCAGGAGACACCTAATAGCATATAAAGACTAGTCACTAATTCTGATCTCTCCATATTCATCAAGAAATATTAGAATACTCTGGTTCTGTTCTTTCTGTTCTATCTTCTCTGCTTGCAATAAAAGCTGGCCCACTTCACTGCTTTCTTATCAAAGAAATTGTCTACCAAGGAAAATCCTCTGTACAGCAGTCACATTCTGACATCCCTTCAGAGAGGCAAAAGTCTGAATGGCAAATAAGAATAAATTTCTCTCTTATCTGAGCAGTTCTTTCTGGTGAGGCAAAAATGGTGTGGGGGAAGTGTACTTTTCTATCAGTTTTTTCTAACAAAGAGATTGTGCCAATCTTTTTGTGGTCCTCGAAGACATGATCTAAGAAAGGTATCTTCATTTTAAATTGTTTAATTAACGTTTGTCAACATCTATCTCAGGTACTTATCGCACCACAGCGTCTTGCAGTTTGTAATGTTTTTGATGATGACACATATACATGTGGTTAAAGAGGTGTTACTCTCTACAGTTAGAATGTACAGAAAGTAAATTGAGTCATCCTGGGAAAGTTCTGGCAGAACTGGAACTTGAAATGCATTCTCCAAAATCACAGGAAAGTTTTTTACCCCTAGAACATCCCTCTACAAGCTGACAGTAAAGCAAACCTGAAATCACACATACGACATAATACCTTGAACTATGACTTTGAAACCCCTTCAAATTTGTTCAAATTTTCAACTGTTCTCTAGTCTTCTCTTAACAATAAAAAAAAATTAGTTAGTAAACAGAGAAACCTCTGTCTCCAGGGCTATCTGTCATCTTTCATAAGTATTAAGGCCATTTAGGATAGCCAAATACATTCTAGCACTAAAATAACGCATATTACCATAACACAACATTTTAAAAATGCTTGCTCTAAAATAGATTGGCAAGTAAATCTGAAATAGCTGCTGAAAGAATGCCAGGAAAAAAAAAATACAAATGCAATAACAAAAGCACATGTGAGAGATATAGTTTCATTTTGGGAAAGATACACACGGTATATTGTGTAACATTTGAACAAATGAGTTTCTATCAAAGATAATCTTGGTGGGTAAAACTGCCAAATTTTCAGTATGAAGCACAGAGGGAAGTGTGCTTTTTTAATGCTGTAATGAAAATCTTAGTTACTTTATTCCTATCTCATGTTTCCTTCTGACCAAGCCCTCTTTGAAATTGTTAACAAATCCAGTCTGATGATAACTGAGCACAATTCCACTGAAGTCAATGGCAATGATTTTTCTCCACACAAGTGTGGGAAAGACAGGCCTTTCCTCTGGGTTTTATGAATAAACCAGTATTAGAAGGGAGCAAAAAGCCTTTATAATATTTAAATATATCTAGCCTGAATATTGGGTAAATACCCTTTCTTCTCTTAATACCAATTAGAATTCAATTCTGTGCATGTTTTACACCGCAAAATTAAAAAACAAAAAAGCAGGCTGTCCAAGTGAAAACTTCAGTGTGTTGCCACATGCTTAAAATATTGCAATTACCACCCAAGTGAGCTGCAATTAAATTTGTTGAAGAGCTGAATTTTAATTTTCAAAACCACTGAAATGGGAAACAGCATGTAAACAGTGGGAAATCACATTTTAACAGGACTTCTTAAAAGCAGAGCACAGGTTAGATGAGGAACCAAGAGACCTGAAAAAACCTGATACACCACAAGGACTGTGGATTACTGCTGAAGCGAGCTACAGAAACAAAGATGTCTTTGAAAGACAGCCAAGGGGAGAAGAACAACAATACCACACCCCCAGAAAAGCTCTCAGTGCTCTGCACCCATTGAAAGGACCCTCTATCACCTACATAGTGAGGGCCAAAGCTGAAACACATGCTCTGAGAGACTGGGCATTACCTCAAATATGATAGAAGTTCCCAGACACCAAAGTACAGATGGGATACCCAGTGCATACATAGGTAGAATTGGGAGCTTTGCTGTGACAATTTTATGTATGATGGAGTTCTTCCATAAAGATTCCAGTCTTTCAATCTCAAGTCTTTTTAGGTGTGCCAGCAAATTATATTAACTACCCTGCATGTCAGAGAAGTGCACAATAACCTCTATTTTTTAATCTTGTCTGTTTCAGTGCTTAGAAAAATCTGAAGCGCTAATAACCAGGACTGCTCATTAACCCATCTCCATTAACATCCAAAATTGCAGTAATCCTTTTCAAAGCAGATGCAATCACTCCACACTGGTGGATTTACTTTCTTATCACCATATATGGCCTGTAGAGTGCTCTTAATTTTATGCAGAAACAGAGTGACTCCATTAGATGGGAATTTTGTTAATAAAAAGGTAATGTATAACATTATTATTTAATTTCTTTTTAACTTTCATGTTCCATTGCCAGGGGTGGAATTTCATATCTTTCAGTGATTCACTGAATAAAACAAACTTCTACGTCAAGGTCTCATGTCCAAGTTATTTTAAGTGACTTACCCCCAGGAATGAATCCACTGTGAACACTGCCAAGGGGTCTAGCACTGTCCAGAGTCCCATAGCTATGATAAACTTTGACAAGAAGGAAGGGAATGAGTCAAACAGCTGTTGACAGCCCCATCTGATCAGGACCATAAGAAGCAGCCCTGAATTCAAGGTTAGGGGTCCCACCACAACCATGATCAACTCTTCACTAGTCCTCAGCAAGGAGTTCTGGTAGCATAGTTCAACAGTGTGAGGGAAAATCTGGAATCTGTAAATAAGCAAAAGGAGAGAGTTTGCCTGTGCTCCTGGGTAAACCATTAAAATTAATAGAATCATGCATACAGCATGCTGCGTTGCAAAGTTGCTTCCCTATCTTGGTCACAACCCTCTGACCAAAAACTCTGGGAAGCTACTCAAAAAAATAAATATTTTTCTCTTCCTGCCTCCATGTCCTTTGATCCCCTCTGACTTTCAGTTCAGTGGATGCATATCCAGGCCCTTGGGACTGTGTAGGCAAGGGCTGCACAAAGACATCAGCTCCCAGAAGCGCCAATGTAAGCACAGGCCCCAGGAGCTCACTCCTTTCTGCATAAAGTGAAAAATGTGATATGGAAGACATAGCTTTTAACATCCCTAAAGTCACTAGAAATTTCCCTCTTGCCACCATGGAATGCTGAGACTCGCAAAACTCACACAATGAGCACATGTGCTGGCACTGTAGGAAGCAGGAACTACATGGTATTGTAAGCTACATATAGATGCTAAAACTTAAGGCAAAAATTTCAAGCCAATCAGAGTGGCTTAAATTCTTCTCCTAACTAAAAGTGGGGTAGTTTGATTCTCACTTTGGTTCTGACTCTTGAACAGTCCCGCTGCATTTGCTGGGACTAGAAAGCCCTCAACTCCGTCTCATGTTTTGCAGGCACACAACTACAGATTGGGATGCTGATCCAGGGCATCTTGGCTTGAGAACATCATTCTTTATCTAGCTGACTGCCAAGGACAGCTGTGATTAGTGGCTCTGAGCATGACCACCTCTCTCTCACATGTTGCTTCCTTCTGTTGTGTTTCCTTTGCTCTCTCAGACTCTTGATGCTTGGCCTCCCAGAAGTTTTAATGCCAGCTGGGCAAGCCTGCCTGGACTGTGCAAGGCCAGAAGTGAAAGATGGCTGCTTTAATATTAATAATTAGAAGACCACCTTAACAATCCCCAGTGCTGGCCAATCTGCTCAGATACCCTGTTCAAATTTTAGCCAGTAATCCCAGTATCGCAGCAGACACAGTTGTATGTTACTGTCTCCTACCGACTGATTGAGGTTTGCATCTCACTTGAAAGTGGGACAAAAAGAAGTTTCTATTGGAGAAATCTCACTTCCCTAAGCATGACTGATCTGTTTTGCTCTGTAAACCTCTTCTCTACCCCACAGCAACATATGGAGATATAGAGAATCAGGTATATATCACCTTGAGGACCTGTTCTCCATCTGTATTTTTTTTCCATGGCAAGTAATGATTTTCCTGGAACTCTCTAAGTTCCGGTTCCCAAGCTAAAGCTAACATATCATACATTCAAAATATGTCAACCCATTGTAGCCCTCACAATAGATATATCAAAATTGAATAAAGTATTTTACACATAGATCACTTTGGTAACATCAAATATGTTTTAAATGCCTTAGTTTTGTGCACTTTCTAGTTATTTTTAAATACTCGATCCAAAATGACAAATGATTCCTTTGGAAGATACATAACCTGCTGAGTATCTCAGAAGGGACAAAGGTAGGTATGACACAAGATATACAAATAGACACATCCTGTTCTGGGTTGAAAACTCACATTTTTAACAACTTTACATTTCTGTTAGGGTCACATTTAAATATAAGATCTTCTGGAGTCTGGATGTGGTCCGTGTTCTCCTAGTCTCTGCAGCACCCTATCAGGGCTTGCATGCAGAGCCCTCAGCCTACGAGCATGAGTCTTAGTCATCATGTCTCTAAACAGTGCAAAGGAACTGCCGTGAATGAAGCTATTTGTAGAAACATTCTGACAGAGAAAGCAGTCAGGGTGACTTACTTTGTGACAGGAACTGAGATGGACTGAAGGAAGAGCCATTGGCTCAAATAATGCAGGTAAAGTCTCACAAACCAAAGCAAAACGACAAGCAGTACAAGCAGCCAGAAGTCCCCAGAGCGCCAGTGTCCCGGTCCCAGCTCTGAGAAGGCTGCGTACACCACAAAATGGAAACGCTCAGCAACCTGTCTGGATAGTTTCACTTCAGCAGCAGAACGGCAGCTGGAGATATATGGAAATAAAAGTAAGAGTCATTCAGAAAAGTATATAAGAAATAGCAATTGCTAAAACACTGTAGAGTTCTGTTATACAGATAAACATGGCACAGTTTCTAATTGACCAATTTATCTAACAGTAGAAAACACATTTTTTCTGTTGCAGTCTGGGCAATACGTGGCTTCCTCCCAGAAATTATGCCTCTGCTTTTATAAAGAAAACATTTAAAACCAAATTTTTAAAAGTCTTTTGCTTTCATTTTCCATTTAATTTTTTCACAGATTGCTCTCCAATGAACACTTTATTACTTTTTTTCTTTCTGAGAAAATGGTAAAAGAACTTGTCATATATGTACTGGAAAAGTATTCATTTTATTGAAAAATGTGAACAGCTTGTTGGCATTTGGGTAAGAGAACTTCAATCAAATATTTCAGCACACAATGCAGGCTAAAACTCCTCTTTAAACTAGTTTCAAGTGAAAGAGAAAATAGAAAGCAACTTGCACTGTACAGTATTCTGCTACTGAGTGTGGCGTGATTTGCCCTTTAAGCTAATTACTATAATGCTTCAAAGGCACGGGGGGGGGGGGGGGGGGGGGGGGAGGAAGACAAAATGAGATGCAGAGATGCAGACTTGGCATTATGTTTCCAAGAAACTGCAGTCTCTCAGCTGATTCGAAGCTGAAAAGACAGTAGCTTCTTTGACCTTTTGAAACTTCTAACTGTTATGATTATTTCCACTGATTTAAATGACTAAGCAGTTGAGATGTGCTCTAGAACCAAATATGATGTCATCATGCTCAAGCTGTTATTTATATTGATTAAGGCTTCTGAAAGTTCAGAAATATAAAGATCTTTTTGTGGAAGAAAACATGCTGGCTTTTTAAAGTGTGGTGCATGACTTGAGAAGAAGCAACAGCAATACTTGTGCTGTACTTTATACTCTTAAATCTTCTATGCTATTTCAAAATATTTTCCTGCCTACACATATGAATTTCTTAAGTTGTTGCATACATTTCTTTCCCCAGCAGTCACAAAAAGAACTGTGAACAGTAGTGGAGAAAATAAAAGTATTCTGCATTTGGTGTAGGTTTACATGAAAAAGCAAAAAAAAATTAAACCCAAACTTGCCAGCCGTTAAGTTTGGATTTTGAGACCAGCCTTGGCATTATGCTACTCCTGATCCTCAGTATTGTGCAGGATGCATGTGTAGTAAGAAAAGGCACGCTGTCAGCCAACCCCTTTTCTCATGAGAAGGCTCAAGCTTTAGTTACTGGTTTGTCTGAAGAACAGGAGGAATCGTCAGGGACACACCACAAAAAAAAAACATATTTTATGTCACTAAGAAGGCCTCAAGTACAAATCACCAAAATTTTTCACAGAAGCAACTGTTGGGCTGAGATTTAATCCTTGCAATGGCTGAAGGTTGATCTGTCAGGGGTTTTGAAGGGCTTTTTGAGACACTGCAGTCCACTTTGCTTATATCTTAATTAGTCGTAATGTCCTACTTTACAGACTTAAGGCCACATTATGAGTTACCTTTCTCATATTGTAGTTATTTACCCAGAGCAGTCTACAGGAACATCACAACACATTTCATTAATGTTATGAAATCACAGTCTAGGCTTGTGTGAGAAAGAGACAAAGAAAAATGTTAAATGAGAAATATCATTGACTGTGGTACTATACTACAATAGCCACGGCATCCTGAATGTTCTGAACTCTGAAGCTAGATTGCACTACATTTGCTTTAATATAAAGAAATTGTTATCTTTAATAACTTCCATCAAAATCTAATTTCAAGGTACTCAATCCTTGAGGAGAGTTAATAGGGCAGGATTAGACAACAGTTACTTTAGTTAGATCAAATAGTATATTGTTTGTGAAAAAAAAAAAAACAAAAAAAAAAAGAAAAAAAAATATATGCTATCTTAGCTCGTAATACGCTTCTGATCCTTCATCAAACAAGCATAATTACATAGATGTCCCACCCAGCCTCACCCATGTCAGAAATTCACATCCCAGAAGGATCACTGCCAATCTCCATCTCTGTGCCAAGAGCACAAGTAACCACGTATTTTCCACAAAAGTCTGGATTTAGATCACCACCTCATTTCATGTAAGATTCATTTGCTACCAGATTATTTAGGATCAATTTACTAAATGAAGCTACTTCTGAACAAGAAACACCAGAGTGAAATGCTCAATATACTACCTGTAAATGTTTCAAGACATAAATCCTTCCTCCAACCCAACACACACATTGAGAAGGAGGACATGCAGCTCAGAATGCTGAAAACACTGAGTCTTATTTCATATACAACAGTGCTGGAGTGCCAGAAACACTGAGAAACACTAGGTTGTGAAGGTAAGATAAATTCTTCCTCACAGAGGCAGGACCTGACAATGAAATCAGTACTTTCACAGCAGTTTCATGAATACATTTACTCCAGCTCTGTTACTCATTATGTGGAAGCTGCTTGTGTAAGAACCATGAGCACACCATAAAAAGTGTGGCTATAAAACTTACCTAAGACTGAGGCAGCAGTGAAAATACTCAACCTGTGCCTTCATCACTTTATTTCTCCCCAGCCTACTTCCACTTTCAAGAAGTCAGAAGAGACCTAGTGTCTCCATCTCTAACCTATGTCATCCTTGCTGAGATGCTGGCTCTCTCAGCAAGGGAATCCACCTACTCAACAAACTTTCAAAGAAAAGTAGAGAAATTCAGAACACATTTGCTGTTATCAAACCCTAGAAAGTTCCTACTGGCAATGACCCTGCTTAAACAAGCAGGGAATATCTATGATGTCTTCATTTCAGTGCAGCTTTCTTCTGAAAAAAGTAATAGCAGCCCAGAAACTCCACAGAAAGCCCAGCTTGCTGGAAGTCAAAGACATAAAAAAAAAAATAAATCCATTAAGTAGAACCAAACAATATTATTTTTTACTTTTTTTGAACAGCAATTATTTTTCATGATTTTCATCATACACCTTGATCATCATTCCAGTTTTTAAATCAAAATTAAAGTCCTCCTTACAGTTTAACTTGCCAGAAGTCCATATTCTTAGCGTCAGTTCTGCGCTGGCTTGTACTTCCCTGTGACTGTGTAACACCTTGACAAGAGCACCATCAGCAAAGAGCAGAAATTGATAGAAAATACAGCATACCCGTTGACTCAGTGAAGGCCCCAACCCATAACTGGAATCTCTTTACTTACTTTAAAACAAATTCAGTGGGCCCCAACTTACTTGTAAGTTACAGTAAACTATTCCCAAGTACTCATTAATCATGCCATAAGGCTGTTTACTGCTTGTCACTTCAAAACACTGGGATAAATTATATCCTTTATTGACTGTTTTGAAGAACAAAAAGGAAGAGGCTGAAACATGAAATGAAATGCACTAAACAAGTGGAAACAGCCCCTTTATATATTTTTAGCTGGTGCTACTAGTGAAAGCTTGTGGGTGGAGTGACAGTGCTGGCAGATACAGTTTTCAGAATAGATTTATATAAAGTTGCTGTAGGGCAGAGAGCATGAGTATTACCTTTCAAAAACAAAACAACCCCCCTCACCCCACAAAACCAACAAATCTCAACCCTTGGGTGAAAACTATACAAATCTCCAAATGAGAAGCCACTTGAGCAATGGATTTATCCATGATTCCTTGGATTACTGGTAAGTAATTTGGCTCAATGTTTCTGTTCTAGGGCATTAGTTTTGCAGTTTTTCTTTGCAAAATGCTGCAGTAACAAATAGCAGAGACCAGATTACCATAAAAGCAGGTCAATTATTTCAATGAAAATTGTTCAGAAGGAAAGAAACAATGCACAGATTCTCTTAAGCTACACTTGATGATGATGACAGAAAAGTAATGGCTGATAGAAGGCAGGGTGTACTGTTGGGTGACAGCTTTGCTGCTGACAAACTACGATGAACATTTGTATAATGCACTGCAAGAGTGGCACTTACAGCTGATGGTGTGGTAGGATCTCAGCTGATGCTTGCTCCAGAGCTACAATGGTATATACCAGCTAAGGTGTTCAGGATCTAGTCCTGGACATATCTGTTATTTACATTGCATAAAATAAGGCAAAATAAATGTTTTATGTTTCTCATAGAGCCAGAGATTTTAAGAGCAAATGCAGACATGAATTACTTTATGCAAATTACTTTCAGGGAATCACAGTCCTGAGAGCCCAAGAATCTGTGCCACATATTTACTCAGTTCACAAATAAAAAAAGACCCCTCTCCATCATCACCATAAATGGTAGGTATTTAAATTTGGCTGTGAAGTCCTTTGCAGCTTATCAAAGTAATGAAGATGCAGGGAGTGTTGCCCATTGTTACTGCAATAAACTGCTATACACTTTCAGTGGAAAAGAACACCTGAATCTGAAGGTACATCTTAAAATAATACACTAGTACATGTAGCCCTTAAAATGGAAGCCAGTTAAAAGCACCACTGATGAAGAATGAGGCAGAATAGAATCTGATTCATTTTTCACAACATAAACATATATATAATTATTTTTATTATCATTATTATTTTATACCTTCTGCATAGTATTTTTTTCCATTATGGGCCTCATATTGCATTACAAAGAAATTGTCTTTATCCCAGGCTGTATCCTGATGGTACAAATAACTTTGCCCAATAAGCAAACAGCAGAGCTGTGAACTGCGCTCTGCTGAGTTACAGTCCATTATTCTATCCACTGGATTCCTAATGAAATATTTGTATGCAAAGTGAATATTACCAGGGAGAACATTTGCCTAGGATGAATATACTGTTTTTTCTCATCTTTTCCCAAGATACACTTATGCATCATGGTCTTCAGTTTGCAAGTGCCAAGAAAGCAGGTACCACAAATAGTTACAAAGGCTGTCTAGGGGCTATCTGCAGTAAGACAGGTGACAAAAGACTTGAGGAGACATTAGGTAATTCCTTCACATACAAATGCTCATAAGAGATTTTTTTCTACAGCTTGCTGAAAAATCAAAA